CAGCTGTCGCCTCCTGCTCTCCTCCCACCCTTTTAAAGGTGAGAGAAACGGGTCAGTTTATGACCTTAAGTAAAATCCCCCTGAAGGAAAACAGGCAGCTGTCGGCTTTCGAGTTTGCTCCTTCCCTTTATCCTTCTCCCACTTTTTTTTCACCCTCTAGGGTTTGTTTGGTTGCACTAGAAATGCCGTGAGGCAATAAAATCACAACGATGAGTGAGTGTTGAAGCAACCAAAAACGAGTCACCTTGGCAACAGCAAGCAAAGCTCTCCCATACTCTCCCTGTTCCCCTGTTTTCATAGTGATTGGTGTGACTTGAATAATGGCTACGCATGCTAAGTACACATCAACACAAGTCCCAGCAAAGGGGAATGAGTAGGAAAGTTGGCCTGTGGGTTGCCAAGTTCCCCAAAGAATTGCCTGGCTTACTGGCATCAGCAGCTTTCAGGTTTCAAAGGAGCTAAAAATAAGTTTTTTTCCTTGATAAACTGATGTTCTCCCAACCATTTCTTTAACACACTGACAAAAACCTATTGGTGTATTAAAAAAGGTGAAACCCATCAGAATATGTTAGCTGTGCACTAGCATTTAAAATAAATGCTCTTCAATACCTGCAGGACCAAATTTTTAACCTGCTACAAAAAAAGGAAATGCGTTAGAAATGTCAAGCCATTGTACCAGTGGTACAAATATAACTGTAATATTCTGCATGTGAATTAGCTAAGCAAGCTGTATGCCTCCATTACAGAGCCACAGCTGATGCAAATAAAGTGTATCTAATGCTCGGAAGAGTATTCTGCTTTCCATAGGGAATAACTACCTTATCACCATGCACAGAAACTTAACCACCTGTAGGTAAGATAACTGTGTTATTTCTCCACTTAGGCACGTTTCAAAGTCATCCAAGCATACCTTATCTAATTATTCTTTACAGTATTATACAGAATTATTCCCATGATTTAATCCCCTCTGAAATCATTAGACACTATGGTACCATTAAGTAAGCAGTTATGACAACTGACGTATGTTCTAGAGGATGTGGGCAGGCAAGTGCCTTTGTCATCTATCAGAGGGTAATTTTATAATTTGATCTAGAGCTTCTCTAGAAAAAGCTAATTTACTTATCTGTTAGCTTTCAAGGACTCCCTTAAAGTCTGGTTTAAACAGGATACAGAGTAGATCTTAATGAGAAAAAACAAACCAAAACCCAGAAGACCGGTACTGGGTGTGTAAGATAAAACGGATAAAAGTGGCAAAGTTAAATCAGGCTTGGTCAGATAGTAAAAAAATTACAGAATTAGAGTTAACAAAGAGAAGGACATAGTCTTTGGGAAATATAACATGTCAACAGAGGAAGCAGATAAAGATTTAGCGAGTTCTTTCACTGCAGACACCAACACACCAGATGAAAGTACTTCAACACCTCAGGATACTTCTAGTCTCCTGCTGGATCTGCAATTCAGTTCAAATTCACTGTAGAATTTTTATTTTTGACTTTTTGCATGCTCCAGGTGACTCTAAAACCTTACAGAAGAAACTAATAAAGTACACAAGGTGTAAAATCAAAAATAAAACAGCTTTCCTACAATACAGGGACAGGTACAAAGGGCAACAGGGTACAAGCATTGTACTGCAAGTGGGATTCTGCACTGACAGCAGACTGCTGGCTACTGCAAATGTGCAAGTCCAGTCATCATGGAGGAAGCTGCTGGTTTTGAGCATGGGTGTTTTACTAAAACCAAGTTCCTCTTTCCAGTGCTTTTACTGCACAAATACAACTTGGGGGAGGCAGAGTCCCAAAATGGGAGGACACATATCTGAAGATGTGGGCAGCATGAGTGTCTGCCAGATGCATGCAGTGGCTCTGTGGCTGACAGCAAGGAGGCCCTGCTGCTCTCTTCCTGCACCACCGAGGTCCGCCACTTCCTCACTGAAAATGACTCTTAGTTGCCATCACATCAATCACTGCACTCCTCAACTCCCATCCTCCTTTTTGTCCCTCTTATTCCTGAGCTTTTTATCCATGCAAAGCACACCACAACAGAGCCTTGGTCCCAGTCAGCAAGTTGGCACCATGAAGGTAACCCATATGGTCTCTGCTGTAAGGCAACAGTACTCACTAGACCAATCTCTTAAACTTTAAAATATTGGGTCAGAGGAGAAATCAAAGAAGCCTTCAGGTGACAATATCACAGATTACGAGATCTACAATCATTAGTTTTGGTTTTTAACTGAAGATCTGTTCTACTGACACCGAAGGCCTTACAAGGTCAGTTACAGTCCTGCTGCTATCACATAAAATCTGTGGAAAAGAGGCAAAAATGTGAGTGCTAAAAATAATGTCAGATCCAGCCCTACACTAGGTCACAAAGAGCAGAATCAATGCTGAGTTTTGCTCCAGGCATATTTATGTGTAAATGATGTTCTTCCAAAGCACTCAGCAGTCAAAGGAGACAGAAAAATTGGCAAAACCAAATGAGCAGTCCAAGGTTATGAATTCCTATAATTTTAAGGTCTCATCCTGAATTTTGAGTAAGATGTGGTATTTCCTGGGGAGAGGAGAGGTGTGGAGTTGAAAAGGGGATAAAGTTACTGTTGGAAGTTCCTAGGAATGGATAAACTGAAAGAAAACCAGGACAGCAAATTTTAATGTAAGCAACAAGCTGAACCACTGCCAGTAGAGGTGTGCCAGACTTCACTGAAGACATCATCCTCCATTGGCACAGCCCTAGAGTACCTCTAGGGATGGTAAAACTCAACAGATGGCCTCCTCTTAGCATATGCTGAAGGGGATGGCTAAAAGATATTAACTGTCTGGTGTACTCAAAAACAAGCAAAAAAAAAAACAAAAAAAACCCAAAAAAAACCCCCAAAACACACACACACACAAAAAAAAAAAACCAACAGAACAAAACAACAACAAAAAAATCAACCCAAAACCAAACCCTAAACCATTCTGGCATACTTAAGAATCAAAGCTCACTTTGTAAGAGGACACAGACCATGCCCTCCATATGTGACCTCTGAATTAAGTGGCAAAAATACTATTATTAACTTCTTCAGAAAGTACTAAACACCACCCTTTCCTCCTGAAGCCAATTTCTGCACTGGTTTGGAAACGGAGAGGAAAAAAAAGTGATGTTTAATTGTAAAGACTTATATAAATATGGAAAGGAACTGAAGGGTGACTTCTCTTGCTGTGTGTTCAAGTCAGGAATTATTAACAGAAGAGCAAAACTCTACAACTTACGCTTTTGCAATTCTGCTCCACTCTCCACAAAACATAAAAAGTCTGAATCACTCATGATCTGAATTATTTACAACATGGATGTAATTTGACTTAAATGAACTTCAGCGAGAAATCCAAAGCATTTTATCCCGAATAGGCTGTTGTGATTTTTTTTCCTCTATCCATCACAGAAGTGGAAAATAGAATAATCTCCCATCTTTAAGGCAGGATGCCCAAGAGACATTCACTGACCAAATCCTTTTCCTAGCTAGATATACCAGTTCTCCCCAATGGTTCATCAGTTATCTTACCTACATAGTGTAAGAGAAAAATTGAATATTAAACAGTAATAATGAAAATCCTGCAATTGGACTAAGCATCTAAATGCTGCTTAAGTGCATTCAGGACACAGGAGCGCCTGGCACAGGGGTCAGTACCCAGCCTTCCTTCCACAAGCCCCCTGGGGGGAATTGCCCATATGCAGTTTCCAAGAACCATTAGCAAGCTCTTCCCCTCCACCCTGAAACTTTGTCTCTTATCTTGCACTTTTCCCCTCCATATTTCTGCTATCTTTATCCTGATCACCACTATAGCCTTCCCATTGACTCCTGCTAATCCTCTCCATTCCTCCATCAGCAACCCAGGAGAGAGATGCAGTCTGCTGTCTGCTAGTGGCTGGGATCCTGATCCCAGTCTTGTGGGAGACTTGGTGCTACCTGAGCTTATGGACCCTCCAAGGAAACAGACCCCAGCACTTGCTAAATCACAAGCACCACCACATAAATGGTGCTTCATGAATACTCCTCCATTCTCACTGTGCTGCTTCTCCACATTATTTATAGCTTGGATAGTTTAATTACAATTCATATGGTTTGGTATTATCTCTTGAAATACAGTTTTTCCCATTTTTTTTAACTTCTTTGCCTCCTGTTATCCCCAACTTCAAAACCACTGTACCTATAATATCCACACTGCTTTCAAGAATTCAGGAGAAACAGTGCAGATTCTCAGCAAAAATACACCAGGGTCACCAAACTTTATTATAACACACATCATTAAAATAACTCCACTGCTGCAGTAATTTGATAGCAAATAATTAAACCTTACCAGCAAAACCTACAGCTGCAAAACCACCTACAGTGTGAGTTTCCTTCAAGAGCCTCTGATGGTATCTTAGGAATGTACTTCTAGTTTCCAAGTAACTTGCTCATCTTTCTATTTATAAGGAAGTTTCACACTTTCATAAACCAATGTTTTAGCATCTCATTTGCCCTGAATTAAAATACACTAAGACAATCTCACAAACATGTGAATTTATATTAATGGAGAGATGTCTAACAGCACGCATATACAGTAAGCTTTAACCTTTGCTATTATTCTATCTTTAGGTTTGTTTTTTTTAATTTGGCTTTTTGTCTTTTAAATACTGCCAATCTATAATGAAGTACTTCCAAGGCACATTGAGGTCACCAGCTTAACTTGTACACTACACAACTTCAACACTTATCTGTAAGTCAGAATTACTTCTGGAGCTACAGTTACCAGATGTAACAAACAAAAGGTTTCTTATTTCCTCCCCAACCAAAAAGTTGAGTCTTCTAAAAAGAAAAGTCTACAGTTTAGTGTGCACTTCACACATGGAGACTTTCTTCCAGACCTCTCAATGACAGATTTTCTGATAGTCCAAGTCACTGAAAAATACATAGAAGGTTATATAATCATTCTACTGTAATTCTCAGCAGTGTGATGGACTAAAGAGACCCTAGGGGGAGGTTTATATTTGGCATTAACCACGTTTATTACTTATAGTGTCATAAAGCGGAGTGCAGAATTCGAGATATACAACTGAAAATTTCTCAAGCATTTTATTTCATAACCTAGTGCATAAAACTTCAACATACAACAAAAAAAGCAAACAACAACAAAAAAAAGCACAAAACCCAAAAAACAAAAACCAAAACACCCCAAAACCAAAACCAGAAGTGAACTAAAGCAACATCTCATAATACATTTGTTTTTTCCCCAGGAAGCTTTACCTACAGGCTCAGAAGCAGTAAACATTCAGCCTACTTCCAAATGGGATTCAGAATAATCTTCATACTTGCAGTCTGCAGAATTATTAACCAAACAGATCAGGTTTTTATGCCTTCTTAGAAAAGGTTTAGTTGCTGTAAGCAGTGGGGCTTGTGGAATTCGGGGTTTTTAAATAAGTAGGTCACTTTGAACAGCACAATCAGTCTTGGTCAGTTATTTTCAGTGAAGCGGATATGTTTACTTGTTTGTTGAGTCTTTTCAAGTCTCATTCTTTCAGCTTTAGCAATTAACTGCAAACAGAAAAAACATTGTAGAAAAGGTTAGAGGAAAATTACATTGTTATAGTTTTATCTTATAACCATTAATATGTTATTCTTGAATTTACCCAACTTTGTAAAAAAAAGCTGTTCTGTGAAGAGCTCAGCTAAACGTACATCTGAACAAAACAAAAAAAAAAAAAAAAAAAAAGGTTACAGCAGCCCTTTCAGTATTGCCTTCAGAACTATCACAAATAGTAAGGCATCTCTTCAGGCTCTGCACAGTGCAGCATCCTTCATTCAATTCCTTCTTCCTCCTAATATCATTGAAGATAAAAAAATTGATTTCAAGAGAATAAATTCATTTCAACTTCAAAAGTTCCAAAATGTAGTTTCATGCAGTAAGTTAAAGTCCTCCCCTTTTACTGCATTTATGCTGTTACCGATTTAAGAAAAATAAGGTCACACCATCAATAAGGAGCCTTAGGAATACTGTGTCATTTTCTACACTCAGCAAAGAAACAAATCCATGGAAATCCAGATGAAGACCATCCTTCAGGCTGGGAAAACAGCACAGCACGTGTCACAACCGTGCTGAGAATTCATCTTGAGAAATAATGGTGCACTTTGGAAGAACACTGATGCTGGAATCCCTCTCTCAAAACTGTCTGACCAGGGATGCACGTGTTTTTAGTTGTATTTTAGGGAGACTGCCTGAATTACCAGGGTACCTGGCTAGCTGCTTTCAGTGCTGAGGTAAAAGAAGTGTTCTTGTGGGATGTAACATGCCGATTTCCAACCTATGTGTACTGTGTCCGCAGGCACAAAACAAAAACTCTGAGAATGTTAAAAGCATTATTGTTTTTAAAGCATCCATACTAGAACACTTACAGATTTAACCACAGTACTGCAGCAAAGTCATCCTAATAAGCTTTGTTACTTTGATGCCCCATTAAGATTCCTCAACCATAAGCAAGAGCTCATGAAGTAACTTACATGAACAAGATGAGGAAAAAAAAAACCCCAAAACGCAACACAGTCTGCCTCACCTGAATAAGTGTGAGAAAGCAGGAAACTCCTGTGAATCTGGGCACATGCATAAGGCACCAGCATAAATCCACATTAACTTATCTGAGGGAGCCTACTAAAACATATTAGCTGGTGTTGAGGTAAAGGGGCATCTGCTTACCAGGCAGTCCAGTAAAGCTGGCTAGATCTGAAAAGCTTTCACCTATAAATCAAATTATTTACTATTTATCCGTGATAAATGCCAAGTCCTGCAAACACTGCATCTTGCACACATCACAAGAGTGCAAGGTGTGTTGCTGCATTGACCCTGGTAGTCAGGAATGACACTCTACACGTATGCTACATGGATGTGGTTTGCTGTGCTGTAATAAATACAGTTACACTACCACAATTTTACTGGTATGTCTCCCTGGGCCCCCAGCATTTAACTTGATTTGCAATCCTTAACACGTTCTTAACAGCATCAGACAGTAAGTTCCGGTAGAGGACTTTCTCATTTTCCAGAGGCAAAGGTGATGTAAATATGTAACTAGGAGCTACTTCTACTCTCTGGTATCTGAGAACTGGAGTAAGAGTTAAACTCTAAATAGAAGTGAGGAGTAAACTGGCTCATTCGTTCAACATATGCAATGCAGAATCAGAAACACTGGAAGGAAGGCTTTGGGATGTGAACTGGCCAGTTTGTATCAGTGTTTCTATACCTACACCTCAAAAAGAGGCCTTAAGGATGCCCATTTTGAGATCATCAATTCAGTATCAGCAGCTATTTCTAAGCACACCACTGTTCAGGTATCCAGACAGGCACCCAGCCCTCCATAGCTACCAACTTCAGAGAACCAGTGAAAGGGGCTTATCTGTGCCTCTCTCCTCCCTACTCCTACCTCCTTTTAGCACAGACTGAGAACTGGTCCATCTTGCAAGGGCACATTCCCAGAGCCCCAGGCATAGGGAGGGCTGTGCCCAGGCATTCCCACTATCCTCCTTTCCCATATAGTCTGCAAATTATTCTGCCCTTCACAAAACACCCAATTCTCACTTGCCCACCAAATGCCTTTCACTTCTACCACCACTCCCACCCTCTTAAACTTCCTCCTTTCCTTCTGGTAAGAGGGTATCCAAGGTGTAAACTGGGTTTAGCAGCATCTCCCCCAGCGGACAAGCACCCAAGTAGAATGCTTACAGCCACTCAGGCCTTTGCTTTGTGCACAGGAGACTTCAGTCTGGAGAGTTTGAGACTACAGACAGATAAAATGCTTGAGCTCTGCATAAAACTGGCACTGCCCTGAAGGAATCGTTCTGGGAAGAAGGTTTTTTATCTGTATCACTGAATCAATACAATTGTTTATCCCAGGGTTGAATAACTGACTAAAGAGAACATGCATTCAGAAGGGACAAGGGAAATGAGCATAGAGATGATGATAAGTGAGGAAGGCCTGGGAGAAAAGCCAGACACTGAACACCTTTTTAACTGTAGAGAACAGCTAGGCACTAGTCACAAGTTCTGGGGAACCCTGGGATGTCTAATCTCTTTTGGACACTTAGTTTATCACAAGAACTATGCCAGAGAAAGTAAAATCTATACCACTTTTTATTATGGGGGTGACGCGTAACACCAGAAACCCTCTTTTGAAATGATCATTAACCCTTACCCTGTTATGATAGCTTATGATATATCTCTTAGGCCCAAATTTAACCACACTAACTGAAATAAAGTGCAGCCTTTATTGTAAGTATAAATCAGACAATAGGCAAATGCTCATCTTCAAAGAGAGATCTTGTAAGGGATTTTAAAACAGAATCTTTGCAAGAAAGATCCACTAATGGCATACACAGATGTAGATGATTACGAATCATTACTTTTTTCCTTTTTATTGTGACCTTCAAAATACGCCAACTTGTGAGCACTTTGTGAAGATTTTTCAAATAAAAGATTAAAATTAAATAAATGATTAAAAGATAGTAAAATTAGTGAACAGAAAGAAACACTTTTTCTTATTCTCAGTCTGTATTTCTGACATACTGATTGCCAAAAAGTAAGTAAAGTGTTAAGAGTCATTGACTATAGCGAGCCATTCTTTTGTGGATGTTTTACTTAACAGTGTTAGCATTTAAATAGTATTCACTAAGCTTTGAAGTTAACATCTCCCAGCCTTGCAAGGTGATGGGTAAGGGGGAGGAGCAGGAGTTTGCACTCTCACTACTATGGTTAAGCAGAGCTCAAACAGTTGATATTTGCAAGCCTCAGTGAGGTATGTTACTGGCAAATTTACACCAATTTGGTCAACAAATACCAAATCTTCAGAAGATGAAGAACAGAAACTTGAGAGCAGGGCACCTACAGTCCAAATTGCACTTTTGTTCAAAGAATTAAAAGTACATTAAAAAAATTTATAATTATAAAATAATTATTAAAAAAGTCACAAAAACCTGGTACACTCAGTAAAAGGCTCTGAAGCTGCACATTTCACATCACTTACTGCTTATATTAAAGAATGGCTAGAGTAAATGCCATTTTTATGTCTTTAAGAAAATGAAATTACTCACATGGGGAAAATCTTTATTCACACCTTGAAAAGAATGAGACTCATTTATCGATGAGATCTCTGAAAGAATGTTTAAACCAAGAAGGTAATACATGCAAAATATGCCTTGTGCAAGACAAAGTTTTGACCTGTACAATTGCTGCTCTTTTAGGTCAATGTAGTATTTCTTCTCAATTATATATAGAGCAACAAGGGATTTTTAATTGTTTGCATCAATGGAGCACTTAGAAAACAAAAAGCCCCCAAAGTCACCAGCCAATAATAAGGTCAGATGATTCTGAAGTTTTGCAAGCTCCAGCATAAAGACTATACTCAAATCCAACTCAGAAGCCTTATCTGCAAGTTGTGTGAAGTAAACCTAGCAATAAAGTGTCTGCAAAATACTCTTTGGCTCCTCTCTGTCAGCTAAGGGATCTGTCTAGCTTAATCAAGAGTCCTTCATGCCTGAAAGGATTTTCAGGGGCAGGAGTGGAGACAGCAGCCTGCAAGTTCATTGCAACACTCCCTCCGCACTGGAGCCTGACAGGCACAGCAAAGTCAAGGCTGGGTGGAAATGTCACTAATTATGGTCTGGAAGCTGCTCAGCTATGGATGCTCACTGGGATATAGACTCCTTGACAGCAGTAGGAAAACACTACTGCTCAGAACAGCACAGAACAGTACACTAAAATATTTGTGTAAATTGTAACAGATTAATTCTTCAGAAAACAGTTTTCTTTATCACACCTGAGAGTTAAGACTATACCACTAGACCTTATTACACTAGAGCAAATCAGGGCTAATTAACCTTGTTAAAAGCACAGCAGACACGATTTTAGAGGAAATCCATCTTACAAATTAACTTCATGCCTTTAGTCACAGGCTGAACTTGCTCTGGTTGTCTCTATAAAGACAAGCCTTGCATTTGGCAACTGGACCAGGACAGCCACATATTCTCTACTCTATGACTGTTAAAATTCTGCAGCAAAATCAGTAGGAAGTCATTTAACTGAATTAAAGACAGCACCAAAGCTTTAAGTACCAAGAAATGCTTATCTACAAAGAAACATTTTCAACCATGGCTGTACAAGAAAAACAAACTGTCTTGCAGATTACCTTCTCAGTACCCCGCTTCTTTTCTCGAGGCTGGTTAAGTTTAGCTTGTCTGTCCACTAGAATCTTCTGCCAGTAACGTTGTTCATGATCACCTTGAAAAACAAATTAACATTACACGACATGAACAAAAGTATTCAATACCAATGGATACAGTATTTTCAGCTGTGATGAGAATGAATGTTTCCTAAGTAAATAAATACATATTAAAATACCTGTTAGGGAAACTTGACAAATATTTCCCCATCAGTCTTAAATTTCAGAATCAGAAGTCACACAGCATTGCAACATCCAACCACCACACACCAATGTGAACAGAATCAAAATTTTGTCCAAAAGAGCCAAGTTTTCCTAAACAAGTAGTTTTACAAACTGAAGAAAACCAACTCAGGGAATATGCTACCACCACTCTCTACATGCAGTTAGCAGGAGGAGCTCAGTTTTGTCTGAAGTTTCACCACAGCACTAAGAGGCCCTTTGATTTACTGATGTACTCAAGCTCTGATGAATTCTGAACATCTATCAAACAAACAAAAAAAAATTACTGCAAGAATGCCTGAGATAATTTTGTTTCATCAAAACCACTGTTAGAAGCAAGCTCTGGGAACTTCATGGGCAATTAGAAATATTTGAACATGGGGGGGCAATAATTATGCAGCTTTTCTCAGCAGCTGTGTTGCAGTAAGAAGTGGTCTGCCACTGTTTCCTATGGTTTCTGCTGTAGAAGAATTTTGTGATGTTGTATGGTTTTGTGGGAAATCTTCAGTTGCAGGGAATTTCCCAAGTGATCTTGGAAAAGATTCACACAAAAGAGATAAAATTAATAATTCCGAGAACAAATTTAGCACACATTTTAACAGCATTATGTATATATTCAATCACAATAACATGTACATGTCATCATAGCTGCTACTTACTATCTTGTCAGGTGAAAAACTGAAGATATTTACTCAAGTCCTAAAAAGTGAAATATTACTAGGAAAGCTTTAGTCCCTGCAGCAGGAAGCATTAAAGATCTTTCCTTACTCTCACCTCATGCCACCAAGAAAAGCTGAAATGCTTGCTGTGAGTTCTTTCTGCATTCCTCAGAAGCCTTTCCATTCTTATTTCAATGAACCATTTGAAAAAAAACCGAAACAAAAAACCCTAAAACTATGAACGGAAGGCTCCTATAACGTAGTACTTACTCCTAATCTATTGCAACACTCTTTCACATCAGGTTACAAAACCCGAGGCAAATACACAGAGCCTGCCACTGGAAAATAATGTATTTCAAGTTGTTCCTGGATCTCTGGAGCACAGAATAATGGACACAAACGTTTCTCAAATGACATTAGCAACATTCAGTGAGTCTTCAGCTTTAATTAACTTTGATATTCTCATGACCGTTAAGGCTTCCATACAGCTCTTCCTTCTGCAGTCGACTGAGAATTACAGGGGTTTGTATCACTGAACAGGTGTAATTTGGGCCCTGTGTGAGGATCTGTGCAAGAGTGGGGTAAAATATTTAAATACACATGAGAAAATTTCATCTGGACTGCTTTACCTGTTGGGGTTTTCTTCTTGTGGGTTTTTTTGTGGGTTTTTTTGTGTGTGTTTTGCTTTTTTTGTTGTTGTTTTTTTTTTTTTTTAAAAGCATTTAGGCTTTTTAGTGCATATCTAGAATGAAAAAGTTATATGAATACAGTAACAAAGTTTGAAACTCCTCCCTCCTTCCCCCTTATTCTACTCTTCACTTCCAGAAAGAGATTTATCTACCCTAGGAAGACTAGTTCTACAGCAATTTCAGGAAAAAACCCAACATGCACTCAGCTGAAGTTCCAAAGTTGGTAACCTTTTTCTGTAAATACAGTTTAAAAAAGGCATTCCTCTGACTAAAGTTATTCAACTTCCTGAGGGGTGAAAACAAAAAAGAAAAAAAGAAGACAGATTAATTAGAAGGCAATTGATAAAACCACTCTAAGTGTATCCATACTCTTAAATCCTTGTCCTGTTATTTCACCTAGAAGTTCAGTATGTTCAAGAAAATCTTCATTTAAAGTTCTTCAGCAATGTCAGAATGTTAATTCATAAAGCTGAAATAGGAATTAAGTTTGATAGTACACTGCCACTGAAAGTGATGTAAATAAATCAGTATCAAAATAACAGAACTAAGTGCTAAATGCAAGAAAAATATTCTTATTTTGCTCTGGATGGTGGCATAAAACCCCCATACCTTTTAACCAATTTCACTATAACTGCAAAATGGGAAGACTCACAGAAAAAAAATGCCCTTTGTTCTGACCAAGTCATCTCAGTATATCCACAGAACTACCACGGAATACTTTTTACCATACTTAAGTTGTTTCCTGTAGTACCACTAACCAAAAAACCAAACCAAACCAAACCAAAACCAAAAAACAACCCAAAACCAAAACAAACCAAAAAACCAAACCAAGAAAAGTCTTACCAGTGAGAACTTCAAATTTCCAGTTGTTTTTGATCTGTATTTCTTTGTATGACTTCATGATAACCTGTGCATCTGCAGGAGTTTTAAAACGGACGTGACATTCTGTGTCTCCCTCCAGCATGTCAACATAAGCAACATCAGCCAGTGCTGCCAAAGCATCCTATCCAAGCACAGGAGAGAACAGGCTTCATAAAACTAATCTAAAACAAGTGACTTTTTGGGTATTCAATTTGTAGGTCATTGACATTGCCAGAAAGATGATGAAGTCAAAGGCAGTAACTGAACTTTTCCATCTAGTCAACGAACCTCTTGTCAAATAGTTTTGATTTCATGTATTTTCCTAAGAAGGTTATTACTTGTGATTTATGAGCCTAAACATCCATTTATCTCTCATCCTGCCCTCCATCAGCAACTTAAAACAGGAATTTCTGAAGATGTTTTTTGGTGGTTTCTTTTTTTTTTTGGCTTTTTTGTTTTGATCTGATTTTTTTTTTTGCATGTGTAATCTTACTAAAGGAGCATTAGTAATTATCCATTTATTTCAATACTTTATCTGTATGGACTTTTTATTTTTTTAAGAGAAAAATTATTTGTCTACCATAACATTGATATATCTTGGTCCAAGAGAAAAATATCTGCCTTCATCGTATGCATGAACTATATGAAAAGCAAGCTCATTCATTGCAGATGATTTGAGAACCGAATAGTAGTAAACCAGCCCTTGCTATCTTTATGAACTGACCTCTGGCTGAAAGCTGAAGGAAGAATCACACATGCTTTTTCAGATGAAGTACTTGTAACACCTGCTGCTAGGGAAATGAAGCACCACTACACATACCAGGTCAATTTTGTTCACAGCAGGAAGGTCAAGTAAGATGCTTCAATTCATGAATTACACACTGCTTTTAACCCTCCACTACCAGGGGCAGCCTTGAAGCAAAACAAAATGCAGTGCCATTTGGAGAGGCGACCAAAGACACTTCCCACTTTAAATTCTGGTATCCCAAAGTCATGCTTTAATGGAAAACTACAAAGACCCGAACAGCTTGCTGGAGTTGCCAAATGCATGAGGCAGAGACACATCCTAATAGGAAGATATGGAAGTAGTGAATTAAAAAACTAAAACATCAAAGTAACACTAGAACTACTCTGCAAAGACCATTCATGTGCATGGAAGCAATGAAGCCTGTCTACCACAGTAAGAAACAGATCAATTCTTCAAGTTTAGTAAGGAAAACCCCCTGGATTCATTGCTTTGTGGCAGTGCTGGAGCTCAGAGTCCACAAAGACAGGCAAAGCAAGTTTTTGTCAAACTTGTCTTGCATAAAAGCAACTAGTATGGAAAGAGAAATGCAGTAAGCATTGAATACAGTCTGCAGCTTCCACTGCTGACCCAAAAAAAGAGCTGGTGCACCCTAAATATTACTTCTTCCCCCTACAGTTGTATCCTGCAATTATGTGTCTCTCCAAAAATCCAGCCTTATTTAGGTTGTGAAAATTGTGGGAAACATTCTGCCTATCTCCTTAAATGGAAACCAAAGACATGACTAATAACAGCAAGGGCCACCCCAATCTGATTTCCCCGCCCTCTGCCTTTCCTTTCATAAATAATTACTTTTCCTTGAAACACTTGCCTAATACTAAAACAAAGGAGTAACTGGGAATACCAAACAAGGACTGTTTTCAGTTATTGTGGAGGAGTAAGTTTACCTCCTGACCACCATATGCTGGAACACCAATTTCATCCAGTAAGGTGTATATTTTATGTCAAAGTGGCCCTCAAACCTCACTTCTTTCAGTGTCTCCAGCACTCAGACATCTGCCTACAAATATACCTGAGCAGACAAGACTGATGACATTGAACCCTTGTCATCAGTTTGCTTTCATGGGAATTTCTCTCATGTTGCTTATGTTTATGCACACACTAAACTTCACTTGCAATCAGCCAGTGACTTCCGGTTGACTACTCAGTCACAACAAATACAGGTAGTTTGATAAGACACATCAGAGAGCACTTGCCATAGGGGGGGAAAAAAAAAAAATAAAAAAAATGGGTGAATGAATTATTGGCCTAGATCTACTGTTGTCACTCTCACTCAATTTGTTAGTAAGAAAGACAAAAGTTTTCTCACACAGAGACTGTTTTCTTGCCCCCAAATTCCTGTTAATGGTAAAAACATTGATATATTGTTACTAATTTACTGACCTGAATTGTGCCAGGACTAGCATAATGACCAATATAGAACACAGGGCCCACTTTGTCTTCAGCTCCAATTTTTTAAACATTAAAGAATTACTCATGCTCTAGAGCATTATGTCTTCCCAGTATTTTAATTTTAAACTTGACATTGCTTGAAGCAGGCTAATTTGTTTTGAAACATCCTCTCTACCCCATTTTACCTTCGTAAAATCTGCCATTAACAGGTACTAGAGAAGAATCTCTACACAGCTTCTGGCCAAACATATAGGAAACAAAAACCAAAATAGTCAGACATTTTCAAATAATATTCCGTATTCAAGTATTTCGGGGCACTGTAAAAGGAAAGGCTAACAGCTACCCTGAGGTTACAAAGGTATTACCTTGATCTGCTTCCTGCCTGGCAGGGGCTCAGTGCTAATGATCTTCACAATTACTCCACTCAGGAACTGAGGTCCCATTGTGCTGGCCTTGGCAGAAGGGGCAGAGTCTTCACTGACAGCTGCTCCATTTAAAAATGGGGTGGGGGTGGGAAAAGGAATTTTTTTCAGGTATTAGTTTGATAAGATTATATGAAAGCACATAAACAAAGTGATGGACACAAGTTTCATAACTGCAGATTAACTGCTGGTTGTTTTTTTCGTCTAGGATCAAGACTGTTCACAAGTTAAAGTCAATGGGAAAATGGGGGGGAGACAGAAGGAAAAAATAGCTCTAAAAAAGAGTTTTAGAGAACTTTTTGCAGCCTAAAGAGTCGTCTTACAAGAATATTTTATATTTTATTGATTACAGTTACTAGTTGAATGCTCAGCTCTGGTTCTGGAACGATTAAAAATAAGCACACTGGCATTGGAATGTTAAAGTACAGACGATCCAGAGCAAAAATGAACAAGTCTCACTTGCTGAAAAATGCAGAAATCTAACTACAAGGACATTATTACAAAGCTACTTTCAAACATAAGGCTGATAAAACCCAACTGCAAGCAATTTTTGAACACCTTACTTAAATTGTTTTCTAAATTGCTGTATAGTCAAGCTTAAGTTACATCACCATACATAAAAAAATCCATATGCTTAAGAAGTGCTACTGGAATATGCTGAAATTACTTGTTTAGTCTTTCTTTACACAATTCCTTAGTTCCAAATCTATGTACAAGAGGGGGGAGTTGCTGTTAATTATATCTGACATTCAGAGAAAGCACCAGTATTATAGAAAATACAATCATATTGCAGTGTTTCTAGGGGACCTATGTCTTAAATCCCTTCTGTTTGTGTACTAGAATGATGAAGAAAACAAGACAAAAACCATAGCAAACAGGATTACATTTTCCATTTTCAGACTGGGGCTTTTTCTGGGCACAACATTCTCCTTCCATCTCTCCCACAGGCTCAGGTTTGATTTGAGACATCATTTTCTTTAATGAGGCCATGCTGGCTTTTTGAAGGGCCAAATATTCTTGCTTCAAATCCATCCATTCTGTCCTGTAAGTGGCAACAGAGGCATAGGATGTCAGTTGTAAAGAAGAAAAAGTTTAAAGCTCGATGACAGCCTAAGACAACAGAGTTTATATACAGCTTAAACTAAACTTGGTGAGCAGTGCAGGTCCTTCTTACCATCAGAGGCTTCCCTGTGCTTAGGTCAAATTAAACCTCATCACTATCTGCCTTATTATTTTGCTTTAGCTTTTACTATTCCAGGCAAGCTCTAACAAGATCAACCTCTCATTCAGAGACTCCCAAATTTGGTTTACATATTCAGAAAGCATACACAACAGTTTGGTAAAGTGTTTTCTACTGATGCTAGGCATTAAATTCAGAGTTAACTCAGAGATGGTGAACTCTGAATTCACTGAATTAGTTCAGTGAACCCATTACTGTGTTAATTATCAAGTTCTTTATTTTTCTAGAAAAATCACTGATGGAAAACCAACAACTGTTCAAACTAAAAATAAAAAAAATAATAATTAAAAAAAAAACAACCCCAAAAAAACCTACCGAGATAAGAACATTCCTTACCATTCAAATGCATTTTGGTTAAAAAATACCACCACATGGAAGCAATTTATACATTTACATACATTTAGCATGGAGATGTTTCTGCAAACAGCTAGAGCTTTGCTCCCCAGAAACACAATGCCTGCAGTGCCACTGTGAGAACGACTCATTGTTACCTTAATCTGTACTATCAAACAAGCTGATAGAGAATTTTTAAAGAGGAGAATATCTTGTGGTAATGGTTTTAGCTCTTAACATTGACAACTGTATACTTCAAAAAAAGCATCCAGACTCACCCAGGATCATACATTCTCAATAGAGCAAAGACATTAAAATAACAAAAGGATTCTTGGAGATAAAAAGGCAACACCATTCCCTAGCAAGGTATGGTATAAATACAAGCTCAAGGAGGTACTTGCTGTAGACTTGAAGATAGAGAAGACCACGGGAATGTCAGGCAAGTATTAGCTATGCCTGTGCTCTTTACAAACTTTTTTTTCTCTTTTTAACCTCCTCTGCTATAATTAACTGAACTTAAAACTTTCGTTGACAGTAGCCTCAGTACCTCAGCAGAAGAGGACCAGCATCGTTGATAATTACATGCTTTTTTTGGTTTGGCTGGGTTTTTTTGTGGACCCCTTTTACTTTAACATGGAGGTGCTTTCTGTGACTTTAAAAAAGTAAGTGCTTCCATGTTTTAGTAGAGGTGAATCCTCATCGCAATCCTGAACCACCATTGAAACTGCAAGATTTTAAACAGGAAAAGGAAGACTTTTGGCCTAAGAACTAAAAGATTTCAGTGCTCCAGGGCTCTGTATGTTCCAGATTTTTTTTTTTAATTTATTTTAAAGGACTCCCTTTGCTTTAACATGGAGGTACCTGCTGCCTAAAAAAAAGTAAGTGCTTCCATGTTTCAGTGGCGGTGGATCCTGATGCTCTTGAAATGAGATACAGCTTTAAGTGTACTTGCCATAATAAACGTGTACATTCTATTATTGCATCATAACTTTTATTTCTAAGTTGCTATTTAGGCTTTTCCCTGAAGGACCCCCACTACTTAAATGTGGATGTACTTGCTTTGCTCCTAAGTAGTAAGTGCTTCCATGTTTTAGTGATGGTGAATCCTTTGTTTTCTCAGCTGAAAACACTCCTCTTCCTAGAAAATGTATCTAAACAGATATTGAAACACGCTGTATTTGCACTGTACTTGTGGTTGCTCTGTTGAGCACTAAGGCATAAAAAAGCCATAAAGCATGATTTTGCATAGATATATAGCACAAGACTGCAAGGACCCCCTCGGCTTTAACATGGAGGTACTTGCTGGAGGCCTAAAAAGTAAGTGCTTCCATGTTTTAGTTGTGGTGACTCCAAAGAGCCCAAGAGTTACAAGCATGAGGAATGGCATGACTTGATTAATGTAAACTAATTTTTCCATCTACAGTCTAATACTGTTGCTAATATGCAACTCTGTTGTGTAAAAACTGGAATTGCACTTTAGCAATGGTGATGGACTGTCAGACATGCAAAGGATTTAAGTGGTCTGAATGGTTGTGAAATCACTGTATATTTGCCTGTTAAATTAATAAAAATTCAGTAATAAAGCATTCAATAGTTTTCTGTAGTTGACAATTCATACATACACCAAACCTGCATATTCCAGGTAAACACAATGAAAGCTCACTATTCCAAATAGTGACTGAGAAAAGAGGGCAGTTACAAAGTGTATGTAAGTAAACACTATGACTTTCCATTACATCATTACATCAACAACCCAGCAAGGTGGGTGGTGGTCGTGTACTTCCCCTTCAAGTCAGAAACCAGCCCACCACTAAAGCCATTTGCCAGTATCAGTTAAGTTCAGTAAAACCATGGAAAACGGAACAATAAAGGCCTCCTGTCCACCGCATATGGTAAGCTAGTCACTTTGTATTGTTTGGAACCTACTTGGAGAGCACTCTGAGTGGAATGACCTCTTCACCCATTTTGTGTCTTTCTTTGTGCTTTTTCTTGTGTTTCCTTTTAGATTTTGATAGGGATGTGTCTTTTTTATCTTTGTCATCTTCTGCAGAAACATCTACATTAAAAAGTCGAAAGAAAAATATTTAGTACTAATATTGACTGGCACTTGGATTATATAATCCACCCTAAATGAATTCCATTAATAGTTTTAACAATACTTTGATTCCTTTCACAAAAAATTGGAGCCTGCTACCTATTTCAGTCCCAGTTGTCAACTACCTGAGTTTAGCCTTTAATGGACTGCAGTTTTAAATCTCATTTATTGCCTTTTTTTCCCTTTTTTAATCTTAATTCTTATACTGTCACAATTTGCCTAGGGTGACTTTAATTTATACTCAGTTTCAGTGGAGATCTATTGATATTAACTTTGGAACTATTTTTACTTTTGACGAGATTTAGCTGCTTCAGTGTGTTCTTCCCTATTCTCTAAGCAGTTTATCTCCTTGGAATGCCTCATTACCTGGTTTCAATTTAACTGCAGGGACCACCTAACCTGGCTTTTGAGTATGTCTCCACCCCATCTGAGCCACTTTTGCCAGTTTAACTTTCAAATATAGAAATTCAGTGTCTGAATATTTCACCAACACTTTTCCTCAGTCTTTCAAGACTCAAAATCCAATTCATTTATATTATGCAGGTAACACTTATGTTCCTTGTTGCTTTCCAGCTTTGTCCTTTGCATCCCTCCCCCCCGCCTTTCCTCACTTGCTGGTTACCCTCTGGCATAGCAAGAATCACGTTAATTTGAGGCCACTATAAATATAATTACAATTGCAAAGAATGTGGTTTAACTGCAGCTCTTCTCCTTATCTAGACTTTTCCTCTCATGAAACCTACCATTTGTCATCTGTAAAAAGATACATATAAATTATGAACATGCTAATAAAGAGATGCAACAAACTTTACCATTGGAGTTTTTTGTAGCTTCTGTTGTTTTTTCCTTTACAGGAACAACTTCATCCTTTTGGACAGTTTTCTTCACTATTGGAGTTGAGGTCTCACAACCTCCAGAACTGGTTCTTTTTCTCTTCCCTGGCCTGCTTTCCCAAGGTGCCTCAGAGTTTTCTGTTCTGTCCCATTTTCTTTTCTCTCTCTTTGAGGGCTGCCTCTGAGTCTCAGTCACCTCCCCTTCTGAACACTCGGATGAAGTTCTGTGTCTTTTTGACTTTGGTACTTGCTCTGTTGCGGCATTCGTGTTCGATTCCTTTGTCTCTACAGCAGCCTGCACATTGCTCTCTTTCTTGATTTTGGATTTCTTTTTCTTCTTCTTTTTCTTCTCTTCTGTATTAAAAATACAATATTTAAAATTGCCGATGAATAAAAACTAAGCAAACAATCACAATATCGCATGTCATTCTAATCTGTGATGTTAAATGAAATGCCTGTCTCCGATACCTCTGGAGAGATGCAATAACGCTGTTCCAAAGTTCTTCCTAGGCATTTTAAGCAGAAGAGAAAAAAACATTTTTTATGTCATTCATATGTCTTTAGGAAGGGACACCTTCCCCCTTCCAGGTAAAAAAAAGTCTGCTGATTTGTACAACCAATCTAAAAAATTAAATTTTCAATACTGTATACTTGGTTCAAAGGGCAGGATGCATGTGAAGTAGTAGAGGGCATCCTAACTGGGTTTAAAACAGGTTTTAAACATTTCTTGACACACCTGCCCCAGTAGTTACAGATATAACAAAGAATGAGTGATGCTAGTGAGGAATGTAATGTACAATTCATCATTACATGTACGAAAAAGATGGGAACATGCCTAAGGCTGGGAAATTTGCACTACATTAAAAACAAGGAAAAACGTTTTTCCAATCCAAATATTTTTCCAATCAAAGTTGCAATATAAGCCTGCGATGCTGCTTTGTAAGTTTCAGTAGATAGTATTTGGAAACATGAGCAACTCTGGATTCAAGATTCTCAGCAATATCCTCATAAAGTGGAACTGCAAATATGCTGTAACAAGTTCATCCCACTATAGACTGCTGTGCTCAAAGAGCAAGAGTTTCAAGGAAAGGCAAGAATCCACTGGCTTTGTAGTTCTCTCAGCAGAGGGAATGCCACAATCTTTGCACTGCAACATCTGATGATCACAAACTCATCTGAACAGCACTAATGTTTAATTTTACTCTTATGATAGCTGGCATAGAGGAATAAAGAAATTAAAGTTTTTAATCAAGCAGGAAAATAAACGCCAGAAATTTACTGAATTTTAGTTTGACACTTTCACTCTTAGTCTACACTGGCAAACAAACAGCAATATGAATTTTAACCTTGTAAAGTTTTAAGAAACATGAGACAAGGCTGCAGTTAACACAGCAGTTTAAACTCTTCAGAACTGGAGGCACAAAACAGTTTTTGATCCATTAACTTAGTAACACTTACCTACTACGCTGTTGTTACTTGCATTCAATGCAGGAACAGGCTTATTCTTTACTGTTTTGGGGAAAATCCCGGGTTTCCGAGGCGCTTCTTCTGGTGGGTTATTCAAAAACTTAAAAAAAAAATTAAAACACAAACTTTTTTGTAAGACAGTCACAACCAGCAGCCCTATATTCACTCAAGATAGATGCAGTCCCTCATGACTACAGAGGGAGTCATGTTCTCATGTTCTTTCAGTGGTGTGGTGCCTTTTGTGGGTTGTTTTTCTTGTTGCTCTGGTTTGCTTTTTAAGTGCAGAACTTCCTTATGTTCAATAGCATGATACCTTTATGTATGTTACTGTTGTGATATTGAAGCATAAATGTTTTTAAACTTTAAAATCACATTAAGTACAGAAAATGAGGTACAACCATACTTGCCTGACTAAATTTAATATCCATCATACTGTTACATTGAGATCTTTATTTCACTAAAAGATGCCAAGAGTGGTCAACTAGATTCTTCCAAAAAACTCTCACTATGCTTCACTGAGTCTCCAGGTTATGAAGAGAATTATGCTTTTAAGAAAGAGTGGAACTGATCTGAGGTCTGGGGTTAGGAGACAGGAACTGAACTCCTGGTAAGTTTTTAAATTATGTTATTTTAGGAATTTCTCTAAAATCCCGTAGGTAGACTTGTAAAAACTACTCCATCCATAGCACAAAGGGACTACTGGGAAGAATGTCAGCAGATCAGAGGCACCACTACTCACCTCAATAGCTTTCTCCGCTTGCTCTTTAGTTTCAAATTCAACAAAAGCAAATCCCTTTGGATCGCCACTGGTTTTATACCGGGGTATACTGACATAAACTACATTACCACACTTCCCAAACACCCGCTCAATCCAACTGTGATTGACATTTTTGGGAAGCAGCTCCTAAAAAAAAACAAAGGGAAAGAAACATTTTCTGACTACCATATTACCATTGCATCAGATTGTTTACATCTTCTAATTAAGAAGTTGTCACAACAAAATATATTTAAATATGAGGTGACAATGTGCACAAACTTTTATTTCTGTATTTTTTTTGAGAGGTCACAGTATTCAAGTAGTAAAACCAGTGATCTGAAAACGCATCTTTAATCATTCATATACCTATAACAATTAGATTATATGCTTAATTCAGGATTTTAAATCAGTGGCAGTTCAACCATCAGCTCTCTTTCCATGCTGAAACTGAAATGGCTCAACAATACTATATTGGCCATTTCACTCTGACACATCTGAACTACTACATTGAGATGTGCAGGTTTTTGAGCAACAAACTTTTTTCATATAAATTAATATGTTGTTTCAATATCAAGGTAGCCACAGGATTAAAAAAAAAAAAGCCTCTTAAAAATACGACTAGCTCATTGAGATACATTCTGAAGATGCTTCTGTTACAAAACCAGTCGCACTTCTAGTAACACACTTCATAAGCAGATTGTACTTTCTAAAGTGCCCCTGATTATCTTGAAAACTCAGCCATATCCTGTTTGATAAAGCTGATAGTTTTAACTATAAAGCTTCAACTACACCAACCTCATTTGTAAATATTTACCAATGTTGTTCCTCTAATGAAGAACTGGAAGTCTGGTGAAAGCAGTAATGGCTAAACTGAAATGCATCTTTTCTCACTAGCATGTGAAGCAGCTCTCTGCTCAGCATTTAAAATGATTTAAGCTGGTACAAAAACTGGTGTACCAAACTAACCCCTTTCTCAATGCACTCACTGCCAGCACTCACTTGCCTTTGCTTAATTTATTTCCCTTCCACAGACCATACAAGCCACAGCAGCCATGCCAGACCCATGAGGACAAGAACACCAATCCATAAAACATTTCTAATATAAAAATATTTACTACATTAAACTTGTACATTAACCCTACTCTGTAAGCCGTAACAAGTTCAGTACACTTACATTTCCCTTAACAAGTTCAGTACACCTGTATTTCCCTCCCTCACAAATCAAATGCTATTATGTTTTCTATTATATTTATATTTTCTATGATATTTTCTATTATATTTACTTTTGGTAAAGGTTTCTTGTGCTATATCCAAGATGTTCCCCCCAGAAAACTACCGTCTAATTCTGGTAAAAGTATGGCTGCTTTATGTTGGGTTTTTTTTGGCTTTTGATACAGTAAATGCTACTCTGTGATTAGATTGTCACAGACAACACATAGGGGGGTTTGCCCTCTTCATGAATTAACAGCAAGGCAGTTTAGTGCAGCCTTACCACATAGACTGTACGTCTATCCACATCCTTCGGTTGCTCACCCAGTGGTTGGCGTCTTCTAATCCTTGTTCCTTCTAAATCCAACTAAAAGTAACAAGAAATGAACAATTCCATTAGACTATTGCCTACTTTACATTACAACAACATCAGCAAATGTTGAAGAATGAAATATGAAATACCTCTACAACAGATGAACTTTTAACTGCTCGGGCTATCAATTTTCCATCAGTCGTCAACTTTTTCATTTTGTTGAAAGAAACAAGAAGTGATATGTCGACATCTAGGCATAAAATAAGGTACAATGATGAACTCAGGGTAACCTGACATTAAGATTCCATTACTAGAAACAATCTGCAAATAATTAGCGCAGTCTATAACCTTGCTGCTGAGGATTTGCAGAAAATTTTCACCATCAAAATTGAAGTTTCAAGTAAACCCATCATTTGATTTTCTTTTGTGCCAACCTTTATCAAAGGGATTTTGTTCTTTTACCTCCCCACTGACAACTATTGTCTTCAAAAAGAAAGGAAGAAAACCCCCTTTCTGAGGTAGCTTTGCAATACTAAACCAATTTGCATTGAAAACATGCCTCTCCTTCAAGTACTCAATTAAGTGTTTAACCCGGGCTTCTAAAAGAAGCCCCTTCTTGCACTTCAATAGCAATGAGTCATGCTGCTAAAACCTTGACAGAAAATTATGTAGTACTAGTCTTATTAATAAGGAAAAAAAAAAAAAAGAAAAAGGTAAATACATCCAAGCTCTAATATCTCTAGAAAATGTAGGCTAAGTTTTATTGCCCTGAGAGCCCCTTAATTTAAAGTTGGCTTGAAGCTCAATACAATGGCAGACTACAGAAAGCAGTATGAAGGCTACACTTCAAATACAATGCAACTGGACTCATGATTCACGCTTCAAATATGCTTAAGAAAACAAAAGTAAACACGTCTGGAAATTTTTTGTTTGCTCTGATGGAGAAGTACTACCTCTTTTTAGAGGTGCTCTAGTCCATCTGGCAGAACTCAGTTAATAGAACAATCAGACCTGATAGACTCTATTTACCACACGTACTTTTTTTTAAAGCAAAAGCGTACTAGTCACTGCAGCAAAAGTGTAAATTACTTCCTTCAGAAACTGCCAGAACTGAGCGCATTTTCCTACTCTGAAGTCAAATAAGCCACATAAAAAATTGTCTAAAGGAAAGAATACCCACAGTAGCCTTACATGTAAACACCACAATTGCTCCCATCAAAAACATGTGCAGAAAACATGACAAGTATCTATATCTAACCAAAAATCCAAATTGCATTTTAGTTTCTAAATATATCTACCCTACAAGTCAAGCACTGCACCTCCAAGGGCGTTTGTTTGTTTACTCTTAAAATTGCAGAAACTCATGAGGGGGAAATAAATAAATAATGTGTATCCCAAACAGTCATTTTTACCTTCGCATATGCCTGTAACTTCGGTCTGGTAGTAAAGGAACAGGAAAAACAAACACTAAATACAATTTCTAAAAACTGGTACCAAGCTTTGCCTCCCAAGCCACTAATCCTACTGCGGGTTTCCAGCATGGAACTACTGCTTTCCCCAGCAGCAGATGTGAACCTCAAAATAACTTGTAACTGTCACCAGGAATACAGTCGAGAATCTGTTCACTGAAATATAGTGAATATAAACTTACAGCCATCTCTGGACTTCTCTATTTGCTCTCGGAGAAACCTGTCTTTGTGGAGATTGACATCCCCAAACCAGAAATCCACTTGTTTCGCTATATCTGCGAGCACCTGTTTAACCCTTGATCTCTTCCTTTTTTCTCTCTCTTTCTTCTGTTCAGTGCTTCCTTCCTCCACAGCTTTGTTTCTTGCCGTTTCAGTCTCCATTCCTGTCATTCTGCCAACTGGAAGTTAAAGGTAACCTTTGAGAAAAATCAAAATTATTTCCACCAGGAAACATTCTTGGTTTAGCTGACATGAAAAACTTTACGCATCCCCTGCGAGACTATCTGCCATTCATTATTTGCACCATACAAAAATACAAAGCATATAAGAAGATGAGCAAAATTAGGTTGCACAATAACTATGAGGTGAAGAATAAGCTAGAACTCATGTCTCATGGCAGCTAGTAGTGCCCTTTAGCACAGAAATCCACTGGAGGCAAGTTGGTACCAAGCTGCAGGTTTTTAATTTATGATTTGTTTCTGAACGTCTTGGGAACAGCCTGCCCTCACCATCAAATTGCCAACAGTAGGTTTTGAATTCCAGCACCAGTCATGGGATTCACAGTTCCAAATGATGTTGCAAGTTACAGACAAGCAGCACTCTTAAATATTATATATATGGGAAAGGACTAATCATCTAGTTCTAACCCCTTGCTATGGCCAGGGATGCCTCACACTAGACCATCACCCAAGGCTCTGTCCAACCTGGCCTTGAATATTGCCAGAAACGGAGCAGCACTGTCATGCTCTCTCAGCCCATAACCCAGAACCATGCAGCTGCTCATTCACCCCTCCCCCTTCTTCCTCTCCCCACACTCCCGGAGGGAGGGGGAGGAGAATCAAAAGAATCTAAAGATGTTGAGAGAAGAACAGTCCAGTAACTAAGGTATAATACAAAACTACTACTGCTACTACCAGTAATGATAAGAGAAATAAAAGGGGAGAAAATTCAATTGCTCACCACACGCTGACCAATACCCAGCCTGACCTTAGCAGCGATCTGGATCCTTCCGGGTGACTCCCCCCAGTTTATATACTGCGCATGACATGCTGTGGTATGGAATAAACCTTTGGGTAGTTTGGATCAGTCCTGTCTCTGCTTCCTCCCGGCTTCCCCTCCTCCTTGGCAGAGCATGAGACTCAGAAAGTCCTTGATCGGAGTAAACATTATTTGGCAACTAAAATCATTTGTGTGTTATCAGCATTGTTCCCAGACTAAAGTTGAAAACACAGCACTGTGCCAGCTACTAAGGGGAAAAATGATTGTTACTCCTGAACCCAGGACAAGCATTCACCACTTCTTTGAGCAACCTGCACCAGCGTCTCACCATCTTCACAGGGAAGAACTTCCCCTGTTTCAGTCTGAACCCATCACTCCTTCTCTTATCACTATAGTCCCTGATGGAGAGTCCCTCTCCAGCACCCTTGTAGGCCCCCTTCAGATACTGGAAGGCTGCTATGAGGTCTCCACACAGCTTCTCCAGGCTGAACAGCTAAAATTTTCTCAGCCTGTCTTCATACAGGAGGTGCTCCAGCCCCTGATCATCCTTGTGGCCTGCTCTGGACTTACTCCAACAGCTCCATGTCCTTCTTATGCTGAGGACACCAGAACTGCACACAATGCTTCAAGTGGGGTCTCACAGGGGCAGGATCACCTCCTTCAACCTGGTGGTCATGCTCCTTTTGATGCAGCCCAGTATATGGTTAGCCTTCTGGCCTGCAAGCACACACAGCTGACTCATGTATATATTATGTATATATACACACATATATGAGTTACTTCTTTAAAGCACTCACACAGGTCACAAGGTATGTTTGTGTTTTAATAATACATAACTTCCCTGTTACAAGAAAAACAAGCTTCTTGCTAAACAGAGCTTACAAAAAGTAAATCCAAGCAGCACAAGATTTCCATTGTAATAAACATGATTTTATTAGACTTGAAAAGAAGCCAGAAATAATTTGTTCTCTGCTCCCTGTACAGACCATTAGAAAGAACACAAAAAGCCCCAGAGCACTACACACTTCATAAATTTCTGCAGAAGTCAAAGAAGGAAAGAAAAATAAAAGGTGGATTATATAGAAGACTCCTGAAAAGGCTGACCAAGGACCATGCTCAGTGGGCATGTATCATAGATCCAGTGGTCACAAACAGGTTACACTGACATGCATACAGCAGCTGAAGAGCTCACTACAAAAATTGATGGTACAACCTCCAAATGAGAAGCATCCATTAATCCTTATAAATAAATACAAGATAAATTATATATAATTTGCATAATGCAATATATGAACACATGGCAGGGCTGGTAATAAAAAGGTTTGCGTTTAAAAACTGTCTTTGTTGTTCCAACACTCTAAGCCACTTGCTGCCAGTTGCCAGGGCCTAACAAAGAGCAGGAATTAAAACATCATCCAGTCCTTCCTATGAATATGTTCTAACACATTCCTACTTGCAAGTCCCCATGGCAATCAGTATGTGCTACACTTAGACATTTCCCCTTTCTTTGGTCAGGGCTTTTTCACCAGCTGTCACTGATTTTAATGGCAAAACAAGTTCTGACACAACCTCAGAATCAGGCCCCTAGAAAGCAGGGATTAACTAGAGGGAAGTGACTTAAATGTAGAGATTTACCTTGAAAAATATAAGATCTTTTTAATGCATCTAATGATCTTTTTTGTTCACATTTCAGTTCGCTGTAGCTATCTATCCCTCCCTCCTTGAAAACTGCCAGTCACCACAACGCATCATTTTACACCATCAAAACAAAGTGGCACTGCCAAAAGCAGACAGCTTTTTGAAAATCTAATTAACACCAAAGTTAAAGTAATTAACGTAGCAATCACCATATGAAAGCCTTCTCAGCTCTCTGCCAAAGCACTGTAGAAGGAAAGGTGAGTAGAGTCAGAGAGGAAGCCCACCTCTACAACAGGATGACAAAAATGGAAATGGCTTCAAATTATTGTGCAAATGAGGCTACCTTAGCCGGCTATCAGTTTCTCCCCCTGCAGCTACCACTCCAGACAGCCAAAGGTTAACAATCACTTTGGAAAGATAAGCCAAGTAAAAATCCCAACTGAAGCTCCACTCAAGCCCTTGAGCAAGGTATTTCTATTAATAATCATCAGAACAATATACTACTTAGCTGAGGGCTATAGTGAGTTGCACCATTAACAGTAAAACATAATTATGGGATATTTTTAGTGTCCTAACACTATTAAATGACTTCAATGACACATAATGAATGTGGCTTATGTACAGCAAAACTTGATTTTAAGAAGGCATCTGAGTGTTTTGCTGTACATAAGCCACATTCATGGAGACTAACACAATTTTCTCAACCTAAAAACAACCTCCTGCTCCTGTGCCAGTCCTGCTGTGCTTACTCCTTCCTCTGTCATCACAAATGGATTTTTAATAAGATGCAAGCCCACAGCACAGAACTATGTTTACATGGATTCAGCTACATGAACTAACAGCTCACTGACACTCAAAAAGCAGCACAGCTCTCATTTGAGTTGCTACACGATCTCACCCTCTGGTACAGCCAGTTCAATGCAGACCTGAGAAACTGCTACTTTCTCGTCCTTCCCTCCTGGATGAGGGGGCAAACCGACTCATAAAGGAGCTGAATAAGCTGCAGAGCTGATAAAGGGAAGCAGCAGGATTAAGCACTTGGGAGCAGGACAGAGGTGGTTACAGAAGCAAGACATTGTGCTGCCCTGTTATAAGCTGCACAGTCACGGGAAAATATCTCATTTGTCATTCAAACAAAGGGGAAACACACAATGTGAAATAGATTTTTCTAGTCCCAAACTTCATCTTTGCCAGCATTAACAACTGCCTAAATCCCGGTTCTGAGAAGGCCAGCTGCACGGGTACTGACCTCTGCAGGTTTCAGCCCTGCTACTGCAACCGCTCATGGACCTAGCGTGCCTAAGAGTGAGGCAAGCACACATCATAGAATCACAGAATGGTTTGGGTTGGAAGGGACCTTAAAGATCATGCAGTTCCAACCCCCTGCCATGGGCAGGGGCACCTTCCACTAGATCGGGTTGCTCCAAGCCTCATCCAACCTGGCCTTGAACACTGTCAGGGATAGGGCAGCCACAGCTTTGCACAACCTTTGTCAGGGCCTCACCACCCTCACAGGGAAGTACTTCTACCTTGTATCTAACCTGAACTTTCCCCGTTTCAGTTTGAACCCATCATCCCCTGTCCTATCGCTACAGTCCCTGATGAAGAGTCCCACTCCGGCACCCTGTCCCAAAGTCATCCATTCACCATGTACCCCCCTCAACAGGGGATCCTCTCCCCAACACAAGGTACCAGGTCTTGACCACGTGTGAATGCACCCCAGCCACCACATTCACCTGAAGGCAGTCACCACAGATCCCCACGGCGACGCTAAGAGACAACAGCCCTTAAAACCCCGCCGGGAAGTGGCCACACACGTCGGCACCAGGGCGGAAAGAGGCTCAAGGAGATGGGCACGCGGAACGGGATGTGGGGAACCACTGCACAGAGGCCAAAGCAGGGCAATAAGGGGCACGAATGGCGGTTACCCGTTTGGGGTGCTGCCCTGACAGAACAAGCAGCCCCCTCAGCCCAACGGCCGCATGAAGCATGCGCGCAACGCCGAAGAGAAGCAAGGCAGTGCAGCAGCGCCCCCTGCCCGCGCCGCTATCACACACCTCCGCAGCCGCCATCGGCTGCCCCCCCCTCCCGCGCGCACCACCGACCTGTCGCCAAGCCGGGCCCGACGTCACCGCAGAGGACACCGAGCTGCTGCTGAATCCTCCGGGCCCTGCCCTGTCACCGTCAGCCCCAATACGACACACCAATACCCCGCAGAGAGGAAAAGCCCCGCGGCAGCGTACACAGTGCGTTCGAGGTCACGTGGTTTCCTTCTCCCTTCTGGTCGCGTGGTGACGTTACGCGGCGACGGCGGGAAGTTTCGAACGCGGGAAGGAAAGAGCGGTGGCTGTGGCGGGGTTCATGGGCCCGGTCTCGCCTGCTCTCCCGGCATAGGTGGGTAGGAGGTCGGCGACAGCCCCCCCGTGGATTAGTAATGGGGCGGGTGGCCCGGTGGGGCGATGTTTGATGGTTGGGCCCGCCTCTCCGTAGGACACCCCCCTTGGATCCAAAACCGCTGTACTGAGGGAAATGTTGATGGCTGGTGGTTTAAAAGGGGCTTATCGGGCTTGTCCGGTGTGGTGAAAGTGGTCTCAGCAGGACTTTGTGAAGGAGTGCTGGCAGCTGTCCTGTTCATCCCTGTTCCCACAGTATTCCATATCGACTTACAATAAGCAATTAAAGGCCAGCCACCTCCCTTTAAAAGCTAAAAGAGTAATTATATATCCTTTCAGGGTGTTAATTTCAAGGTTTTGCACCCTAGTAAACACCTGGGCACTGCCAAGAAGGTGGCAGCTATAAGAAACAGCATGAATCTCTCACCATCTTAATATAGAATCCCAGGCTGGTTTGGGGTGGAAGGGACCTTAAGGATCATCCAGTTCCAACCCCCCTGCCACAGGCAGGGACACCTTCCACTAGACCAGGTTGCTCCAAGCCCTGTCCAACCTGGCCTTGAACACTGCCAGGGATGGGGCAGCCACAGCTTCTCTGGGCAACCTGTGCCAGGGCCTCACCACCATCACAGGGAAGAACTTCCTAAGGTCTCATCTAAATCTCCCCTCCATCAGCTTAAAGCCATGTCCCTTCAAATATTAAAAGTCGTCCATACAGTACTTTTAATTATTTCCTCTACTATTCCACAGTATGAGCAGCTGCCAATCTCACCCTGTCTCTTGTGATTTTGCAGTGATTCTAAAGGATTGAACTAAGGTCCCAAGCACGGACACAAATCTCATCACTGATCAAATGTTATAAGCCAGCACATGCAAGTAATTCACAGCCTGTGGAGATGAGTGGCTAAATAATGATTTGCTCCTGGTTTTATTATCAGTTTGAAAATTTACTGTGATCGAAGTTTAAATATGACTTCATGGTTAACTGGTTTTGAGAATCAGTTATCTTTGCCGTGAATTAAGCATGCATGACCAACTCCAGAGTCAATAAACTGGCAACAAAATTGTTCTGCTAATAGCTTGTATGGTTTTGGTTCGTTTTTGGTTGGTTGTTTTGTTTTTTTTTTTTCTTCATGTAAGCATGTTTAGGATTATGTGTTAATTCTGAATAGCAGAAAGATCACTGGAGTTTTCAAAGCTGCCAGCCACTCATTTAAACAAATTTCCCTGAAAGTTAGAAAATATGTTGGCATCTAAAAAAAAAAAAAAAGCATTTTTTTTACCAGTAGTCATTCTGTTAGATTTTCAAGGTTTCTCTTTAAAATGCCTACATTATACCCCATTGTTTTGATGTTGTCTTGCAGATAGCTCTTTGAGAAAAGAAAAAAATGAACTGACATCTATTTTTCTGTTAACACATTTTCTTTACAACTCCGGCAGATTCTGAATATTTCCTTGTCTCTTAGGCCACATGAAGATGAAATATTTGTGAAATAAGATGTTGGATAACTGTTCTGTCAAAGCCATGCCTTCTCAAGAATTTACTGTAAGTTATTTTTAACACTGTGAATAATTTAGATAGAAATAAATTGCTGCTGTATTATCTAAACATTTTTCTTGCTTATAATTATGTCAACATTTTCCGTGTTTCAAACAGGTATTATACACTCACCAAAAAAAGAAAAAATCAAAAACATGGCAAGATGGAATTCTGAAGATTAGAAATGGCAGTAATCAGGTGAGCAACTCAGATTAGATATCCCTGGGTTTAATATCATCTGCTACTGCTGGACTGCCAGTGGCAATCCAGTTGATCTGTGAAAAAAAATTAGTTATTTAAAATTCTATTTTTCCATTTCAGGCTGTCTTGTTTGACGATAAAGGACAATGTTTGGAGAGTATTTTCATAAAATCACAGGTATATTTTGTTTGGGGGTGTTTTTTTTAATGATTTTTATGCTTGACTGTGATTTGTGTTTCAGGAAGCATTTAAAATTCTTACTTGTTAACTGAGGTAGTACTTTTTCTTATAGTGGATGTGAAAGTCTGACACAATGCAAGTAATGCAAAGCAAACCCAGCTTCTAATTATTGATAAGTCTACTGTTTTTCCAGAACCTGTGTAGAGGTTTTATGGAATTCTATTCATTTGGGTAAAAGCAGTGTATTATACTGATACATTAAATAAGCATAACTTGAAGCTAAGTGATATATATATAAAATACATATTTATCAGGCAGCTGTGCTATACTAGTTGCAAATTTCTGAAATATTTACATGAAAATATTTAGAAGTCTGTAACTGCTTATAAGACTGTAATTGTTTGTTACATAGCACTCATATATACCGCTGTTTCTCTCTCCCAGGTGAATGCCGGAGACAATTTAGAAAGTGAACGCTATTTGATCACAGTTGAAACAGTAAAAGTGAATGAAAAATCTTTTGAAGACCAGCCAAGGGAAGCAGAAACTCCAGCAGTGGATAGGAATGTTGTAAAACCTGGTGTCCCACCTCCAAGGCACCTGTCTGTTGGCTTGAAAAGGATGTTTACGGTATGTCTTGATTTCAAAAGCCATGTCTGATGTGAACATGCATTTTAAGACACAAAGGGCACATCTTTTAATGAATGATAAATACATAAATGATGTCTTCCTGTTTGGTTTTGGAGTTGTAAGCCAGAATGTGTAGCTATTTTTTCCACAGTTTACTAAATCTTGTTTAGCAGGATTGCTATTTCTAAGGCTACAGTGAATATCACAAGGGTTTGAGATTACTTCTGTACACATGGAATTGTCATATGTTACTTGAGCAGAATACATTTTATGGAGCATGCCCTACTTTCAACAGTTGATTACAAAATGTGAAGTTGATTTTGAGCAGAATTAATTTAACATTTTTCCCCTAGAGTTTCCAAGGG